AGATTCTCCAGCATCTGCAGTTCCTACTATCTCATGGACACAAGGTTTCCTTGTCTACGGAACATTATTGAGCTGGCTGGGTTTTAACAGAGATGACTCGATGGGCCGAATAGCCTGCTTCTGCTCCTGTATCTTATGGTCTTTTACGCCAACCCAACAGTTTCACGGTTGCTTTTGTCGAAAGCAGCTTTCTGATCTCATTTTTAAGCATCGTAAATTCAAATTCCTTATTTTCCGAGGAAGGATTTGAATTGCTGTCCTCTGGGTTCCTACTTCGGTGACAGAATGGAAGAGAAAGACCTGGGTGTGTTGTCACCTTGGCACGCTGTCAGAAACGCTGCAGCCAACAAGTACACAGCAAGATCCCACAAACAGCAAGGAGGCAGGTGAGCAGAAAATCTGTTTCAGGTGCTGGCTGAGGGTTAAATGTTGGCTGGAACACATTCAGCACGAGAGGATCACAGCTGGAATTCCGAATCACAGGCTGATCCAGGGAGTTTGCCATGACCTAAAGAGTTTTATTTCTGTTTCTCGGATAGATGTCTCCTGTGGACAGACTGGAGCTGGTACAATGACCTGCACATCACCCCCAGCGAGATACATGCAGCACCATCAATGACACCAACACCTTCAGTTGGTTTTAAGGGATTTTCTGCACGATTAAAAGGTGAATGGTCACTATTTCACAGACGACCCAGGGAGCTCTCCTCAGTCTCCCGGTCAACATTTATCCCTCAACTGACACAACTGAAATCACATTATCTGCGTATTTATTCAATTGCTGTCAGTGGGATCGTGCTGTGCACAAATCTGGTTGCTACGCTTCATACATCACACTTCAAGGAACAGCCCTCGATTGGCTGTGAAAGGCTTCGGGAAAGGCGCCACATGAATGCAAACACTCTCAGCTGCCTCGTTTCTGTGTCACTTCAACTCAAAAGGTCCCGTGACATGGTACAGCAACAATTTACACACACATATATAGCAACCTTCATGCAGCAACGTCATGAAATGGGCTTTGACACCGGGCCACATGGTGGGGTAGGAGATATTTGGACAGGTAACCAAATGATGAGTCACAGAGGTCAGTATTTGGCTGTATTTTAACGCAAGAGTGTTAAAAAAAGTGAGTTCTTAGGGAAGGTGGGGGCGTCTCCAAACATACAGCTTCTGGTAGCTAAAGGCACAGATCCCAGAATGGTTCAAAGTAGAGCAGTTGAGAGGACAGGGTTGGAAGAAGACAGAGAGATGAGAGGATTGTGAGCCTGGAGGAGATTCCCAAAATGGAAGGGGGTGGTGTGGTGAGGGAATGAATGGGAACTGAGCACTGGCCAGACCAGGAGCCCACTGTGTGTCAGTGAGTACGGGCCATAAAGAGTGAATGGAACCAAGAGTGAGATAGGGCATGGGCGGGGGATAGAGTTCTAGTTGATCCTAATAGGGGGGGGTGGGGAGATGGAGTTTCCAGAACTTCCCAGAATCATTCTAGCACTTATCACTGGACAAAAAAATTAATGCGATTGAAAACCATGCAAAATATCAAATCTATCATTAAAAGAGAAAATGCTGAAGAAACTCAACAGCATCTATAGAGAGAGAAACAGAGTTAATGTTCTGAGGGTAATACGACTCTCTGATTCTGTAGAGAGGCTACCAGACCTGATGGTTATTTCTGCCATTACTTCCAGCATGCACACTATTTTGGTTTGTTTTGTTACTGAGATGTCATCTCGAATTCACCTTTAACCTTTATCCTCAAGGCCAGCAGGTGATAGAGGTACCATTGTGAGCATAGCTGCCTTCCAAGCAGTTGAGCCGAGTTCAATTCCTGGCTGTCCCTCTACCTGAAGGTGTACAGGTTGGTTAGCTCAGTTGGCTGGACAGCAGGTTGGTGATTACACAGGATCCACCGAGTGTGTGGGGTCAATTCCCACACTAGTTGAGGTTATTATGAAGGACTCTCCTTCTCAACCTCTCTGCTCACCTGAGGAGTGATAACCCTCAGATTAAACCATGACTCTGGGCCTATGGCACCTTTACCTAGAGGCTTAAAGTAACTCTTTGCCTCTAATTTGACTAAAGGTTCTATCTGTCTGCTTTAAATACAGTACAAAAAAAATCATTAAATTTTAAGCACCTCCATAAGTGTTTCTTCTGGTAGTTCTGGTGCTTCGAAGGTCACCATTGCCTCAATGTTCGTCGCGATGGTGTCAGGGTACATGTACCGGAGACTCAAGGGTCCCTCATACGCTGCAGGAGGGGACTCCGTGCTGGCTCCTGCTGGTGAACACTGGAACACCCGACTACTGCTGGAGCCCACCGAGCTTATTGAACTGGAGGAGCCGACTATGACAGGGTGAGAAAGAAGCAGAGACACAGGTGAAGTATTTCAAAGCCAAAACTGCAGATGCAGGGGGGAGGACGGTGGCATAGTGGTAGTCTAGAGATGCAGGCTACTGTCCTGGGAACGGGGGCTCGAATCCCACCCTGGGCAGCAGGCGAGATTTTATTTTAATTCAAAATGATCTGGAATGGAAAACTGGCCTCCGCACTTACCACAGAAACTACTGTCAATTCTTGCAAAAGCTCACCTGGTGACAAATGCCCTTCAAGGAAGGAATTTGCCATCCTCAATTAAAACTGAAAAAACTGCGGATGCTGTAAATCAGAGACAAAAACAGAAGTTGCTGGAAAAGCTCAGCAGGTCTGGCAGAACCTGTGGAGAGAAATCAGCGTTAACGTTTCAGGCTGAGTGACCCTTCCTCAGAACTTCCCTTCCCCAATTCTGAGGAAAGGTCACTGGACCCGAAATGTTAATTTCTCTCCACAGATGCTGCCAGACCTGCTGAGTTTTTCCAGCAATTTCCATTTTTGTATCTGCCATCCTTAGCTGGTCTGGCCTACATGTGACTCCAGACCCACAGCAATGCGGTTGACTCTTAACTGCACTGCCTGAAATGGCCGAGAGAGCTACTCAGCTCGAGGCTAATGAGGGAGGGGGGCGGGCGGTCAGCTTGCCAGTAACATCCCATGAACAAAAATGAGGAAAAAGCTTTCAGCCAATATTGGAGACTGTGGTCGTGTTGGAATGTCTTCATTTGGGGGGACGACTTACCAGGGGTAAGCCATGGGGTACAGGTCTCTGGCACAGAGTCTGTCCCTGTTGCTCAGAAGGGAAGGGGGGAGAGGAGGAGAGCATTAGTCATTGGGGACTCCATAGTTAGGGGGACAGTTAGGAGATTCTGTGGGAACGAGAGAGACTCGCGGTTGCCTCCCAGGTGCCAGGGTCCGTGATGTCTCGGATCGTGTTTTCGGGATCCTTAAGGGGGAGGGGGAGCAGCCCCAAGTCGTGGTCCACATAGGCACCAACGACATAGGTAGGAAAAGGGATGGGGACGTAAGGCAGAAATTCAAGGAGCTAGGGTAGAAGCTTACAGCTAGAACAAACAGAGTTGTTATCTCTGGTTTGTTATCCGTGCCACGTGCTAGCGAGGCGAGGAATAGGGAGAGAGAGCAGCTGAACACGTGGCTACAGGGATGGTGCAGGAGGGAGGGATTCAGATACCTGGATAATTGGGGCTCATTCTGGGGTAGGTGGGACCTCTACAAACGGGATGGTCTACACCTGAGCCAGAGGGGTACCAATATCCTGGGGGGAAAATTCGCTAATGCTCTTCAGGAGGGTTTAAACTAATTCAACAGGGGGGTGGGAACCTGAATTGTAGCACCATGCTTCAGGAGGTTGAGAGTGGTGAGGTCTTAAATAAGGTTTCAAGGTCGCAGGAGTGTACCGGCAGGCAGGAAGGTGGTTTGAAGTGAGTCTACTTCAATGCCAGGAGCATCCGGAATAAGGTGGGTGAACTTGCAGCATGGGTTGGTACCTGGGACTTCGATGTTGTGGCCATTTCGGAGACATGGATAGAGCAGGGACAGGAATGGTTGTTGCAGGTTCCAGGGTTTAGATGTTTGAGTAAGATCAGGGAAGGTGGTAAAAGAGGGGGAGGTGTGGCATTGTTAGTCAAGGACAGTATTACGGTGGCAGAAAGGACATTTGATGACAACTCGTCTACTGAGGTAGTATGGGCTGAGGTTAGAACCAGGAAAGGAGAGATCACCCTGTTGGGAGTTTTCTATAGGCCTCCAAAAAGTTCCAGAGATGTAGAGGAAAAGATTGCAAAGATGATAGGATAGGAGCGAAAGTAACAGGGTGGTTGTTATGGGGGACTTTAACTTTCCAAATATTGACTGGAAACGCTATAGTTTGAGTACTTTAGATGGGTCAGTTTTTGTCCAATGTGTGCAGGAGGGTTTCCTGACACAGTATGTAGATAGGCCAACAAGAGGCGAGGCCACGTTGGATTTGGTACTGGGTAATGAACTAGGCCAGGTGTTAGATTTGGAGGTAGGTGAGCACTTTGGTGATAGTGACCACAATTCGGTTACGTTTACTGTAGCGATGGAAAGGGATAGGTATATACCGCAGGGCAAAAGTTATAGCTGGGGGAAAGGCAATTATGAGGCGATTAGGCAAGATTTAGGATGCATAGGATGGAGAAGGAAACTGCAGGGACTGGGCACAATTGAAATGTGGAGCTTGTTCAAGGAACAGCTACTGCGTGTCCTTGAGAAGTATGTACCTGTCAGGCAGGGAGGAAGTGGTCGTGCGAGGGAACCGTGGTTTACTAAAGAAGTTGAATCTCTTGTCAAGAGGAAGAAGGAGGCTTATGTAGAGATGAGGCGTGAAGGCTCAGTTAGGGCGCTTGAGAGTTACAAGTTAGCCAGGAAGGACCTAAAGAGAGAACTAAGAAGAGCCAGGAGGGGACATGAGAAGTCTTTAGCAGGTAGGATCAAGGAAAACCCTAAAGCTTTCTATAGGTATGTCAGGAATAAAAGAATGACTAGAGTAAGATTAGGGCCAGTCAAGGACAGTAGTGGGAAGTTGTGTGTGGAGCCTGAAGAGATAGGAGAGGTGCTAAATGAATATTTTTCGTCAGTATTCACACAGGAAAAAGACAATGTAGTCGAGGAGAATACTGAGATACAGGCTATTAGAGGAGACGGGATTGAGGTTCATAAGGAGGAGGTGTTAGCAATTCTGGAAGGTGTGAAAATAGATAAGTCCCCTGGGCCGGATGGGATTTATCCTAGGATTCTCTGGGAAGCCAGAGAGGAGATTGCAGAGCCTTTGGCTTTGATCTTTATGTCGTCATTGTCTTCAGGAATAGTGCCAGAAGACTGGAGACGAGCAAATGTTGTCCCCTTGTTCAAGAAGGGGAGTAGAGACAACCCTGGTAATTATAGACCAGTGAGCCTTACTTCGGTTGTGGGTAAAGTGTTGGAAAGGATTATAAGAGATAGGATTTATAATCATCTAGAAAGGAATAATTTGATTAGGGACAGTCAACACGGTTTTGTGAAGGGTAGGTTGTGCCTCACAAACCTTATTGAGTTCTTTGAGAAGGTGACCAAACAGGTGGATGAGGGTAAAGCGGTTGATGTGGTGTATTTGGATTTCAGTAAAGCGTTTGATAAGGTTCCCCATGGTAGGCTATTGCAGAAAATACAGAGGCATGGGATTGAGGGTGATTTAGCGGTTTGGATCAGAAATTGGCTAGCTGTAAGAAGACAGAGGGTGGTGGTTGATGGGAAATGTTCATCCTGGAGTTCAGTTACTAGTGGTGTACCTCAAGGATCTGTTTTGGGGCCACTGCTGTTTGTCATTTTTATAAATGACCTGGATGAGGGCGTAGAAGGATGGGTTAGTAAATTTGTGGATGACACCAAAGTTGGTGGAGTTGTGGATAGTGCGGAAGGATGTTGCAGGTTACAGAGGGACATAGATAAGCTGCAGAGCTGGGCTGAGAGGTGGCAAATGGAGTTTAATGCGGAAAAGTGTGAGGTGATTCACTTTGGAAGGAGTAACAGGAATACAGAGTACTGGGCTAATGGTAAGATTCTTGGTAGTGTGGATGAGCAGAGAGAGCTCGGTGTCCATGTGCATAGATCACTGAAAGTTGCCACCCAGGTTGATAGCGTTGTTAAGAAGGCGTACGGTGTGTTAGGTTTTATTGGTAGAGGGATTGAGTTTCGGAGGCATGAGGTCGTGTTGCAGCTGTACAAAACTCTGGTGCGGCCACACTTGGAGTATTGCGTACGGTTCTGGTCACCGCATTATAGGAAGGATGTGGAAGCATTGGAAAGGGTGCAGAGGAGATTTTCCAGGATGTTGCCTGGTATGGAGGGAAGGTCTTATGAGGAAAGGCTGAGGGTCTTGAGGCTGTTTTCGTTAGAGAGAAGAAGGTTAAGAGGTGACTTGATAGAGACATACAAGATGATCAGAGGATTAGACAGGGTGGACAGTGGGAGCCTTTTTCCTCGGATGGTGACGGCTAGCACGAGGGGACATAGCTTTAAGTTGAGGGGTGATAGATATAGGACAAATGTCAGAGGTAGGTTCTTTACTCAGAGAGTAGTAAGGGCGTGGAATGCCCTGCCTGCAAAAGTAGTAGACTCGCCAACTTTAAGGGCATTTAAATGGTCATTGGATAAACATATGGATGATAATGGAATAGTTTAGGTTAGATGGGCTTCAGATTGGTTTCACAGGTCGGCGCAACATCGAGGGCCGAAGGGCCTGTACTGCGCTGTAATGTTCTATGTTCTATGTTCTAAACACAGGCTCTGGCCTCACTGCTCAGTGGCTGATTGCAGGTTTCGCGTTGGCTAAAGACATACAGCAGACTTGTCTTACTCCAGCTGTTATCTTGCAATTAATTCACAGCTGATTTTCCAGAAATTAGCCTGAGTTTAAAGATGTAAGAATTATTTACAAATGATTGTAAAATGATTCAAAAATGATTTTCCTATATGAATAGGAGATATTTGTAAGATGCTTGGAAGGCTTTTCATTTAAAACTTGCTCTCAGGATGTGGGTGTCGCTGGCTGGGCCCAGCATTTATTGCCCATCCCTAGTTGCCCTTTGAGAAGGTGGGGGTGAGCTGCCTTCTTGAATCGCTGCAGTCCATGTGCTGTAGGTTGACCCACAATGTCCTCAGGGAGGGAATTCCAGGTTTTGATCCAGCGACAGTGAAGGAACGGTGATATATTTCCAAGTCAGGATGGTGAATAGCTTGGAAGGGAACTTGCAGGGGGCGGTGTTCCCATGTATCTGCTGCCCTTGTCCTTCTAGATGGAAGTGGTCATGGGTTTGGAAGATACTGTCTGACGATCTTTGGTGAATTTCTGCAGTGCATCTTATAGATAGTACACACTTCAGCTACTGAGTGTCGGTGGTGGAGGGAGTGGATGTTTAAGATCGTGAATGAGATGCCAGTCAAGCAAATGGCTTTGATTTGAATTTAGTTTAGCTCATTTATAACTCACAGCTGAATGCACTCCTCATGACTGATGAGTGTTTAGTTCTGGTTCTGGCAGCAACCAGGATATAACTGAAAGCTTGAGGACTTTCACAATGTATTCTATTGACCCTGTGTTAAATATTAATCTGCTGAAGTTGGTTAGAGAGAGACAAAACCAAACAGAAAGGTGAAGTTGCTGACACTTCTAATTCTCCAAAATGATTCCCAATGCAGACTCAAACAGCCCTAAGTGGAACAAAAACAGAGAGTACTGGAGAAACTCAGCAGGCCTGGCAACATCCATGGAGAGTGAAAATGGAGTCAACATTTCAAGCCCAGTAACCCCTTTATAGAACGGATGAAGGGTCACTACACTCAAAATGTTAACTCTGTTTCTCTCTCCGCAAATGCTGCCAGACCTGCTGAGTTTCTCTGGTACTTTCTATTTTTGTTTCAAATTTCTGGCAGTTCTTTGTTTTATGTTAGCTCTGAATTGGAGCTGAGGATAAAGAGAAATGAGAGACTCTGGTGATATTGAAATTTAAATAGAAATTTAAAAATGAATAATGGAGGGGCTCTGACGGTTAAAATTGTGAAGATTGGTACACGAAGCCAGCTTGTTTTTCTCGGAGTTTTGAAGGTTGACGGGTGATCTTATTAGAAGGAGACTTCACTGTGTAAAATTGAAAGGGCTATGGGGAAAGAGCAGACAGCAGGATAGATTGGAAAGCTCTTTCAAAGAGCCAGTATAAACATGATGGGCTGAATGTCCTCCTTCTATGCTGTAGGATCCTAACATCTGATTTCCAGGATAACTGGCTGATTGTTGCAAATAACTAACTAATGTTCGTTTGGGAAGGAAGCAGTTGAATCCCTGATAGAAGGGTACAAACTGTGATAGGTTGAGGTAAGGTGCTTGGGAATAGCTGCTCTCCAGGAGTGGAGGGGATTATAAATGGACACATGAAGGAAGTCAACCTGCAGACTATGGGAATAGAGCCGGGGAATAGGGCTCATTGGGAGGCGAAACAGAGAGACAGCCAAATTCAATGGGTCAAATATTATTAATTTTATTCATTCATGGGATGTGAGCCTCACTGGCCAGGCCAGCCCATCCCTAATTGCCCAGAGGGCAGTTAAGAGTCAACCACAGTGCTGTGGGTTTGGAGTCACATGTAGGCCAGACCAGGCAAGGATGGCAGATTCTCTTCCCCAGAGGATATATGTGAACCAGATGGGGTTTTATAGCAATCAACAGTGGTCATTAGTTTTTAATTCCAGACTATTTTATTGAATTCAAATCTTGACACTGGATTCAAACCCATGTCCCTGGAACAGTAGCCCAAGGACCTGTATTGCTAGCCCAGTGACATCGTCACCATTTCCCCTGATTGACTCGGGAGTATCATGTGACTCAAGTCTCTTACTGTTGTCAGGGCAACCAATGATGGGCTAAAAATGTAACACTGCCACATCCTGGGAATGAGCGAAAACAATAAGCAAAGCCTTCTCTGTGCACTCTAACACTCTGACATTTAATGTTTATTTGGAGAAAGGATGATTCACAGCAATTCTCTCTCAATGACCAAAAACATCCCTGAGAAAGCACGTCACCATCTGTGGAGGAGAGACGGGAGGCTTTCTGTTCTGGTCTGACCCACTGGAATCCTCCAAGATTACCTTGGCACTGCCAGGCAGGATTGTAGATTATGACCACCCAAGGTCTTACTGAATGGGGGAAGCAAATTTGAGGGGCTGAATGGTCGTACCGATAATTAGTAACCCTGGTTTACAATTTGGTTTCTTTGTTCGTTATATCACTGTTTGTTGTCCACCCCTAATTGCCCTCAAACTGAACAGTTTGCTGGGACCAATTCCCGAGGACAGGTAAGATTCAACCACGTTGCTGTGGGTCTGGAGTCACGTGTAGGCCTGACCAGCTAAGGATGGCAGATTTCCCTCCCTGAAGGGCATTAGTGAAGCATATGGGTTTATAGGACAATTGAAAATGGTTGCATGGTCATATTAGGCTCAGCTTTAACTCCAGAAGTTCACTGGTTCACCGTCTGCCTTGGTGGGATTAGAACCATGTCCCTAGGACATTACCCTGGAGCTCTGGCTGACCAGGCCAGTACCACTACAATCCAAATAGGTTAATGCTGTCAGGGAGAAAACCATCACGGCAGCATCAGGTCATGTGTTTTCTTTCTTATTTTCTCTTAAGCTCTCTCTCCAGGTCCTAGACCAGGGGAAAGCTGTAAGCTTTGCCGGCACTGACCCTGATTAAACTTGGTAAAGTGCTGTCGTGGATTATCATGACCTTGTGCAGCAAGACAGCCCTGGGAATTCTCACACTCCTCATGCCCGGCATCCAGGGGACTGGAGAAACTTACAGGTGGACAATTAGCCTGTTTGACCACCTCCCACAGCCATTAGGACCCAAACCCGAAGCTTCTGGCTCAGCTGTAGGGGCATTAGATGTTGTGAACGCTTTATTAGTTACAAAATATATTGGATAAAGGGAAGTAACTGCTATTCGCCTGACAATAAAGAATTATCCGATGAAGAGGATGGAGAGTCTGGGAGTACTTGTTGACTGGTGGGTGGGGAGACTGGGGGACATCCTGATATCGTGTCCCATGTAATTAATGGTGGGTTTAGCTCAGTTGGCTGGATAGCAGGTTTGTGACACTGATAGCACAGGTTCAATCCCTGCATCAGCTGAGGTTATCACCAAGGATTCTCTTCAACCTTGCTGAGATGTGGGGACCCTCAGGTTAAACCACCACCAGTTGCCCCTCTCTCTCTAATGAGAGAGAGCTGCTCTATGGTGTGGGACGTCTCACTATGAGACTTCCTGAACAGATAAGCCTAACTCTGCTCTCCATGTGGGTGACTCAAGAACAATAACCCAGTTATTGATTACTCAATCCTTCCTCCTGGCCTTTTAACAGGCTGTACAAAATAAATCAGGAGCCATCATACCTGAAAACATTCTCGTTCTGCCAGAGCTCGGTGAGGTGTCACTGGGAGGAGACCCAACAGTGAAAACCACAGGGGCTGGGCTGCTGGAGAAAGCTGTCCCTGTCCCTGAGGAGACCCAGCCTCTGGGAGGGCCTGCAGCTGGAGACAAAAACTCTGTGTCAGAGATTTCCTGGAGCACCGACAAGAAAAGGTAATGACAGTGACTCTCGGAATCACACACAGTAAACCCAACAGAGGTGAAAAAAATCATTGGAGCCAGTGTGAGATATTGTATTATAGGTCTCTTTTACTAACTCACTCACCAGCTATATTCACTAATACCACATTCTCATTCATTCATTCACAACCCTTTACTAACTCACTGTTTATTAGGATAACAAGGTGTAGAGCTGGATGAACACAGCAGGC